CATTTCATTTGCGGCTCATCAGTTGGATTGGGTGTAAATTATTCCTATCATTTTTAATAATATACATGCTTATTACAAGATATATACTTGTGTTCAGGTGAAAATACACAATTCAGGAAATCCTGTTTTCATACATTAATAAAGTGAATGAAATGATAAACAATTTGTACTAATGTACTGTATTTTTTCTGTCGCCAAGCAAAATGCATAAGGACCAATAAATGCTTGTTTTTTTCGCTACTGTGACATAGCCTGACTCATAATTTGGACGATTTGACAGTGTTGCATTTAGCTTGACTTGGTCAGCAATAGTTATTGCACCCTAGTTTATGTCAAAGTTAACCTGCCAGAGAGAGCGCAATAGCTGTTGCTGACCAAAATTAATGAATGAAAACAACAATAAATATAGAAATTGTACAAGTAAAGAATATATATATACCGGTATATATAAGTAAGTAATGAATGCTTTTAAAGCTGCGGCTTCTATTAAAATGGTACAACGCAACAGAGGGGATGCGACTTCTATAAAAGCATCTACACATTCTAGAAATTGTTGGGTCTCAATTATTCAAAAGGGTGCGGCTTCTATTACAGATTTTATGGTACTTAGAGTATTTTATTTTTTTTAGTGGGGATCACAGATATAGTTCGTATAGAATTTCATAGTCAAATATGAGCTAGAGATAGTTTTTAATTTTGCTTTAAAGCGGGGGAGTCGCCACCTGCACGTGCGTCAGATGGCCATAGCATGTCATTGTTTACAAACAAGCCTCTACCCACGAGCCTTTGCGTTTTTAGCATGCGTTATCGTTGCTTGGGACTCAATTTCCCATGTATGCGCAGGTGACTACTCTCCCACTTTAAATTTGTGTTTGTTAGTGATGTCAGGCAACATGTGCAATGTTTATTGCATTGGAATGCTTCACGTATATTGTGATGTAGGTGAACACATTAAAGAGGGGGAGTCGTCACCTGCGCATGCATCAGATGGCCATAGCCTGTCATAGTTTACAAATGAGCATCTACCCACGAGCCTTTGCATTTTTAGCGTGTCTTGTTATCGTCGCTTGGGACTTGATTTCCGCGCTTGCGCAGGTGACACCCCCCCCCCCCCCGCTTTAACATGGTAGAATGTACAGTTCTGATGACATTGTCGCTTTAAGAGTTTACCAACTTCTCAGTTAAGATAATAAAAAAAGAAATGCACAGCAAATGCCTGTTGGTGTCTGAATTCTTTGTATTACTTTGTTATTGTTATAAAGTGAATACAATCATTTTGTTGTCATAGTGACATGTCTGCAAATGATGTAAAGTACCTGCAGTTGTATAATGAATCTCTCCATCTTGAATATGATTATTTGCAACTTGTTTTTATTCTAGTTTCATCATGGGGAAAAAGTTATACTCCATCAAATATG